CACGTCTCCCCTACAAAAGTAAAATTGAAAGCAGTTTTAGAAAAAAAAGAAGCAAATGTAAGTTCGCTCTCATTATTAAACTAAAGTGCATACTAGGAACGAAAGTATATTATATTTTTTAAACGAAAGTATTATTATATTTTTTAAACGAAAGTGCATACTTGTAAGTAAAATATTATATTTCTTATATTATTTTTTAAAATATTACATTTAAATATGAAAAACGATGATTATTAACAACTTTGTGATCTACTAACAACATAATTAACGTGCCACAAATTCTTGTTGATTAAATAAGATGAAGTAACAATAAAAAGTAAAACACCACTGTTTTTGTTTTTTGGCTCAATAAAAATAACAAAAACAAACAAGTACAATAAATTTCTTCATTTAATGTTTGCAAAAAAATCTCGTGAATGGTTTTGGAGCAGTAAAAGCAGTTCCAAAAATAGGCATATTTTTTGTGGAAGAGTCCAGAATTTCCTTTTTCTTGTTTTATGTTTTTTTCCTTGTTTTAATTCAATTGGCAAGTATTTTGAAAATGATTTTCAATTTTATTTGGCTACTAAAGGAAACAGCATGTGGGAAACAGCTATAGTCACGTCACGTCTGATAAAGAAATGAGCTCTATCACTTACATAGAAAATTTCAAGGTATTCGTTCCATATTATTATTCAAAAGAGAATAAATTTCATGTTAGATCAAATATATTCCAAACAAAATATTTCATATAGCCTTGCTACAAAATTAGATTCCATGACACAAAGTATTTTTTTTTTATTTTTTATTTAATCTTCATTCAAGTGTCACATTTGTTAGCATATTTTTGTAATATAGTATCGACATCAAGATCCTTTTTATTTAAATATTCAATAAAATACCTCAGAATTCAAAATTCAGTACCACAACATAGCAATAAAATAACTACATGATTGTTGTGTCACTATCTGCAGAACAAGTAAAGACTTATCGAATTTTGACGAAAATATTTGAACATGTAAGCAATACGATTGTTGTTTGATACACGTAACAATTAGAAATTAATATTTTTTGTTAAACATACATAAATTGAAATTAAAATTTCATTTATTTTGAAATACAACATGAATAAAAGTATAGTTGTTGATAGTACAAATATTCCATTTTGTTGATAGTACAAATATTCCACAGATAATATACCTTAGCTAAACTATTAAATAATAATTAAATTTCATAATTGTACTTGATTCCCCTTTTTTTTTCTAAAATAATAAGTAAATTTCATAATTATACTTGATTCCCTTTCGTTTTTCTAATTGGCTTGTGACAGGGATGACTTGTTTCTCCACTCTGTTCCACCTTTGATATAGTGAGGATATATTACTTATTTATTTAGTATAATTATAACAATAAACTTAGAAATATAATTAATTCAACAAAGTAATATACATGTGGCTGAGTTGTGCACGAATCTGTAATAAGACAAGGAATGACAGCCAAATCTTTATGGACCAATCATATATCTCAAATTCTCAATAGAGTTTTCTTTTTATTTTTTGAAATAGAATTTTGTATTTTGAAATATATTCAGTAATACAAGTCACATTAGTGGAGTTGAAAAAACCTAATAAAAAATATTAAAAAATCAAATTTTGCCCATATAATTTGGGTAAAATGGTACTTAAGTCTATTGACTATTTAGTTGAGTGCCATGCTCCATATTTCAGGATGTAAAATATACAGAAATTTACCTAGGGCACGATATAATATGCTTTTAATTATATATCTATGAGACATTATTTTTAAATGGAGACATACGGTATTTATCCATCCCAACACAAATTAATGCCAACATTAATGTTTCATCTTTCTATGTTTCTTTTTTCTTACAGATCTATGTCATTCCTTTTTTTTTTTTTTTTNTTTTTTTTTCTTATTTCTTCTTCATAGATCTTTCTCTCCCTGCAATCGGAAGCTCAAGGAACTCGCCGCCCTCCGCTTGTCCTCGCCTCTGTCGGAATTTTTTGCACGTTATGCAAATCTCTAACGCAGCTCTTCATCTTCCAGCGTCGTACGTCTACAGGAAAAACTCGTTCTCGAGGCGGAAAATTTCATTGGTTTTGTGCGGGGCGCCCAGTCCTCGAACTCCCATCGCTTGTGGATCTTGCACTGGCAGCGGGCACATCTCGCAGTGATGAGACCTCGAATTGATTGCTCGTCCAACGACGAATCGTTTAATTTTAATTTTTTTATGTGGGAATTCAATTAGGGCTTGAGTAATGTGGATTAATTGAGAAGTTTTCCGCGCAGATGAAGATGGATAAGAAATTTGAGGCTTGAGTAATGTGGATTAATTTCAACGCCTGGATCTGAAGTTATTTTCAGTATATGTTCTGTATATGTTCGGTATACATATATAAACTCAGAAAATTAGAGTTATTTTTCAGTATATGTTCTATATATGTTCGGTATACATATGTTCGGTACATGTTCATCTGGATCTGGTGTTACTTTTCAGTATATGTTCTGTATATGTTGGGTATATGTTCGGTTACGGAGGCTGAAACGGGTTCGCCGAAGGTCTCATCCATGGGGAGAGTCCGGTCGATGAGCAACCAACGTTGCGCGAATCCACCGGGGATAGAGGGAAAGACGACGGATTTCTCTGTTACACAATATAGCATCTATATAATATTTTCTCTCTTATATGGAAAATCTTTTCTCTCTCTTCTCTTCTGTTACACAATCTAGCACCAATAGTATTTTTTATGGTCAAGTAGGCATGTTTGCAAATAAATTTTGTAGTTAGTATTCTTACAAATATTTATGAAACACTAAGGTAAGTACGTAAATAGCCCTAAAATATAATGGCGGACAAATTTCTATGGGCTGTGTTGAGCCTAAGGTTGGGCCAAATATGCCGAAGTGTTATACAGCTTCCGGCCCATTTTGCAAAGATATGTTCATCAGAAAAGCATTAGCATGATCCTAGGCTCCTAGCCCAGATTTTGTACTCCCAACTCACGTTCATATCTTTTCACAGGTCCAACAGCTCTAGACTTGTTACAGTCAAACCTAATATTTCCCCAACATAACTTGGTTCGACTTGTAAAAAATTCAAATTTGTTTATTAAAAAGCCCAAACGAACTTATTTGCAATCAACTTGTTTTTAACTCTCTTAATGGGGTTTAAATATAGTTGACCCAAACTTTTTCATGAACGGCTCGTTTTTAAGGTTTAAGGTTTATTAAACCGAGCCGGACACAAGATCCAGCGAAGCTACTCGACCCAACTCGGCTCCAATAACACCACTCCACTCACGAATCAGCACCCAATCAAAATAAATCANAATCAATAATTTACTAGAATAAAAATTAAACCAAGTCTTGCACTTCTCATTCATGCAAAATAAACATAAGTTCAAGAAACAGAGGAAAAAAAAGCATAAACTAGACAAATCAATCAAAAGGGGCTATGAACATGAGTCACTAACAAAAACCCAAAATATGCATGAATATCACTCGAAAGCCCAAGCGTTTTCTGCTCTAACCGCAGCTTCTTCCTCCGGAGTGTAGTCGTTCACAATATGGAACTTTGCCCGAATTTGCTCGGGTGTCTTGCCTTTCATCATGTCAGCCACAGTTTGACACGTCAGGTCCATGAGTTTCTGAATGTTCAAGTAGTTTGCAGCCTTCAAAGACAAACAACAAAAAGGAAAAAGTCAATCTCTCATTTAGTTTCACCACTTTTGTTGTGTCATATATATAAAAACATAAAAGGTTTAAGATACAATTTTGGAGTAAGAACAAGCTAGAAAGCCTAAGTTATATGAACAATGGATTGGAGTTTTGGTCGACCTTTCATCAAAACTAAAGAAAATCTCATGATTGAGATTAATTTTGATTGTTTGACCATATCTTTGTTAATTGACAAACTTAACTCCATCATTGTCAGCCTAATGATTATTATGATAAACCCTAAAGCACAAAAAATTGCAAATCAAGAACGCACAATTATGTGTGTATATAACAGCATTATATTGGTCTCTATCCAAAAAAGTGTACTAATCAAATTAATACTCTAATTTTGTCAAAAACATAAAAGAACAGGTAAAACTATCAAACTTAATCCGCTAATTTGTCAAAAAA